TTTTCTCCTCACATAATTGGCACTCATCAGCTGTTTACAATTTATTTAAATTGGGATCACATGAAATAAATAGTGGCTTTGTAAGAATTATAAAACCCTAGGGGCGCCTGGGTGGCTCAGTCGGTTAAGCGTCCGACTTTGGCTCAGGTCATGATCTCACAGTTAACGGGTTCGAGCCCTGTGTCGGGCTCTGTGCTGACAGCTCAGAGCCTAGAGCCTGTTTCAGATTCTGTGTCTCCCCCTCTCTCTGCCCCTCCCCTGTTCATGCTCTGTCTCTGTCTCAAGAATAAATAAAACCCTAAGAAGGGAGAAAGGATTTTATATGAACGAGGAAGATTGCATGTTTGTTATGTACAACGTATTAAGCTAGGTGACTTTTTTTTGTTGGGGGGAGAGTGGAAATTTCAGGGCTAAAACATATAATTTTTTATAAAGGCCTCCTCTGGGTCTAAAATTTCCAGTTAAGGAATGTAAAAATATGTATTATGAGTAACTTGTTTTTCTCATAAAAATATTGTTTGATCTATTTAGAAATACGATGAACTAAGAAATACCTAGGAAGCTGGACTCATTTTTTTCTGCATCCTTACCGCTCAGATTCTGACATACAGAGAATAGCAGCAAAGTCCCTGGGACTAGATTTCCCCCCTTATTCTCCCTTCTCAGGTTCCAACCCTTCCCTCTTCCTACCAGTGCCGTGGCTCTGGTCATGCATAGCTTACGCTGAAATAGGCCATTTCTGTCCTTTAGTCTTCATAGGGCATCTAGATTCTTAAGGTAATCTTACATGAAATGATCTTTCTTGTGTTCAGGTTACAGCTAATTGTTATATAGATACCAGCCCTGGGAACTTCCCCAGAAGTAATCCTTTGCAACTTGATTTACTTTCAGGCATTTTATCCAGGATTATGGTACGAGGTACGATAATCAGATTTACAGCATTTTAGAAACAGTAGCAGCATTGGACCAGCAGGTTGTTATCCATTTGCTTTCTACCCTCACTCAGTCTCTGAAGGATTCAGAGCGCAAATGGGGCCTTGGCAGAAATATCGCACAAAGGTATGTTTGAAAATCTTATTACATTCTTTTGGGCAACGATTATAAAATTTAGATTCATTTCCTAGAAATGGCTTATTTTCCCATTCCTAAAAATTTGGGGTATGTTGGAGTTGATAAATGTTTCCATACTATGATTGACACATCGCGATTCACATACAGTTCTTTTCGAAGTGACCACCTTTGAAAGCTCTGTGTTTCATCAATGCTACTATTGCCAAAACACATTCAGTGTTACTCATTGGGAGGTGGACTTTAGAGCCTCAGATGTGTTGCTGGATGCCCTATGAAGACTATAACACTTAAAATCCATGGTGGCATTATCTGCCCTTTGAGGGATGCCTTGATGTACTGAAACAACTGCATCATGTGTATCCAGTGAGTAAGGTGTGTGAGCCAATTAAATAATACGGTTTTTGGTCAAAAATAAGTAATAGGACTTTTTTTCTTATAGGCTTACAACCCAGTTTCAGATTGTGCTGGACTGTGTAACATAATGTAACACATGGAAATAGACCTGTAGTTCCTAAAGAGGTTGTTTTAGAGGAGTCAGCACTCATGAGAAGTCATATGTCCCAAGTTTGTTAAAGAATCAAAGTATTTTAGTCATATTGTGTGAGTGTGTGTGCGTGTAGACAGACAGACACTCAGGTAGGCTCAGTTTGTAAATACTTAAAACGAAAAGTAGTGGAAAAGGTAATAAATGTATCTACATCTTTTCTTTTTTCTTAAACAGGGAAGCCTATAGCAAACTTTTATCTCACCTAGGACAAGTGGGACAAGATGAAATGCAGAGACTGGAGAGTGATAATACCTAACATATTTTGTGATTTGCCTTCTCTATTATAACTATCTGAAGCCGCTTTGCACCATTCTGATTCATACTTTTAATTGTGTGATGTTCTGTTAAAAATTCTTTCTAGGATTTTTTTTCTTACATACCTGTAAGTATAAGGTACATAAATAAGGAAATAAAGGTTAATTAAATATATTATAGGACCTTTGGAACTTGGCAGAATTGCATTCTCTTTTGAAGAGTTTTTAGTTAAACTAACTTAAAGGAACCTTTTCTAACTGTGAGTGTTACATGTGTATGTCTGTTAAGTAGATTTGCACCAGTCAATCCAGGAACTTTTCACTGTAATGTGACTTTCTGTCTTGTGAGTGATTTGTTTTGTTTCTTACATGTTTTAATATGATGTGGGTGTTTTTTTGTTTTATTTTGTGTTTTTTAACATTACCTGGCTGTTCTGTGCTGGTTTTGGGGAAAGGGGGGTTCAGGAGGTGGGATTGTATGTTTGTCATCTTTTGTTATACTGTGTCTAAGGCAAGTTAATAAATGCCCAGCACACTTAGCTCTGTGAGGAATGAGGCTGAGTCTGGCTAAATGAATATACAGATAGTATATAAAATGTTTTAAAACTTAAGTCAACAGTGTTTATGCTTAGGTCCCAACAGTTGCCAAATTTTTTTTTTTTTCTTTAGTCGTCCTTCTTTTGGGGAATTTATTAAAAGACCTCTATCAGGAGGAGGATAAATAAGACCCTTTAAGAAAAGAGAAAATAACATCTAAAAAAATCTTCAGGTTACATTATTAACAGAAGAGTTCTGAGAACTCAGCCCATTTATCTCCTCATCAATTAGAGCCTTTTATAATTTAGCATCTTACATTATGTTTACAAGGAACCAGTTTACTTTCCTTTAGCAGCTATTGTGTCTCAACTCTTTACTTCATCCAGATTTTTATTTTACCAGTTGGGCTCTTATCCTTGTCTCCTTTTTGTGGTGAGCTTTACTTGATGAAAGAACTCCAGTCCTAGTGTTTGGAACCCACCTAGGTCTCAAAGCCAGCTCTGCTTTGTAAACTTGAGCAAGTCACTTAACCTTGCTGAGCCTCAGTTTCTTCACGGAGAAAAAAAGAATACTAATCCTTTTTCTTTTTCACGGTGTCCTAGTAAGAATGAGGGGATAATGTATGTGAATGTATTGGTGACATACATTCTATTTGAGGTGTGCAGACATGATTACTAATCATGCCCAAAGGTAATGAACACCTCTCAATTTTGTCCCTTTTTCTCTAATAGGTCCTAGATGAATGAGCGCCCCCCCCTTGGGACCCCCACCCCCCTGGTTTTTTTCTTCAAATTTTTTCTTACACATCATGTTTGCTAACTTTGCAATAACTTACTGTTTCCTTCTTGGGACTCTAGTCTTTATCATGGTTCTTCTCTTCCTCCTTTTCTAACTCAAGAAGTATCTTTAAAGATGAAGTGTATTGCAGTCAGCGAACTATACTTATTAATGCTGTCCTTACTGTAATGTGTGAAGTCTAAAGGAGTATCTGTTGTTTTCACAACATACAAATAGTTTATCCCCCTGCCAGATCAGCTATTAGTACTTCAACAAATGGAATGAATAAAAGCTTCGTTAAGGTTACTTAGTAGACTTTAAAGCAATGAGTTTTTCATTATCGTAGTGACTTACTAAACTTAATGTATTGCTTTGCAGGTTTCAGCAAATGAAGCGTACATCTGTTTAAGGTGATGCTTTTAAAGAAGTTATGTATGTGTATATATATTTTTATTTCCAAAATAGGATTAATAAGATAGCTTTGAGAATCATGTTCCTTAGAATATGAAACTTTTAAGAGATGAGAAAAGCCACTGCTGAATCATGCATTAGGGCATATGTCTATAGATGCTAAGAATAAATAGTTTATACTTTAAAAATCCATAACAAAAAAAAAATCTGTGACAATACATATGTGTAAATACGTGTGTTGAAGTGTGTTTTTAATTGAAGAAAAAAAAATTTATGACTCAGTTCATTTTCTTGAAAATCTTCACAGACCCTTCACTTAATAGGATAATCTTACCTTTTTTCTATTCCCAGATTTAGAGTAAGTACCTTATTCCTGCTTCCTTAATATGTATTCACCCCTAAAGAACCTGTACTCTGTGGGGCTGCTGCTTCTATCTCTCTATTGTAAGCCGTTCTCTTTTGGTGCAGTCTGAGAGTACATTCTCATTTCTCATGTCCTTTGGCCTGACGTCTGTGTTTTCCTTCATCTTCTCAACCCTTCCTTGGTGATACTCCTCCTCCCTACATACTGTACTTTGAAAGCACCCTCATGTTCTCCTTTCCGGTCCCCAGTGGTGAGATGTGGCTCTTCACTTGCTTCGTCTCAACATTCTTCTAGTAGTGAACTGCGAACACTAGCTCATAATTTCATCTCTGAAGTCTATTTCTAGTGCTAATTTCTCTCTAAACCCCTCTAGTTGGATCCTCCTGAAATCTCAAGGCAACATGTCAAGCTGCACTTGTCACTTATTTTCAACTAGCTGCTGCCTTTTCTACCCAGGGAATACACTGTTTTCAGAAGTTATTTAGCCTTGAAACTTCAGAAGCATCTTGGATTCTTACATGCCCCCCACTTTCAGGTGATCACCAGTACAGGCTCTTGGTATTTTTTTCTTTTTTCCATCCTGTACACCCCAACTGTCTTTCCTACTGTGCTCTGTTGATCTTACCTCCTTATCTCTGATCTTCTTCCCTGTAATTCATCCTCACACAGTTCTGGCATTAGTGTTGCTAAAATAATCCTTTCTTCCTGTTACTTTTCTGCTCAAGGACCTCCAGTTACTTGCCAGTGTCAATAAGCTGACATTCAGACTCTTCAGGAGACTTTTCTGCCATCTGACTCTACCTTTTCTATGCAAACTTAACTCACACAGGAGACTAGACTGCCTTAGACATCTGAATGCCATGTTCATTCTGCACTCTGAGCTTCATTCAGCTTGCCAGGAGAGAATACTACCCTTTCTACAGAAACCTAGCCTTAAGACACTTAAGTAGGAAGACAGTTAAAATATAAGTATTCCAGTCAAATAATTTCTGTAAAATATCAGATGGAATATAAAAGAGATGATTGAAGGACAACAGAGTGGTAGAAAGGACTTTATTAGACATTCAGATTTGGTTATGATTTAAATTTTAATTGAACATTTAATTAGGTTTTCATGGGGGAGTAAAAAACATGGAGTATGATCTCTGTACAGAAATCTTTTAGTATTGACTTCATTTGCATTAGAAGAGTTTCATAGTTTAAAACTTTTATATCTTTACCTATTCCTAGCATATTTTTTCTTAAGCCTATTTGACTTTTTCTACCTGGGCATCTATATTAAAAACAAAAACAAAAACAAAACTTACCTGTAGCCTGTGTGTGTGTTCTTTACCCATTATTATTTTCTTTCATGCTTCATCACAAATTTTTAAAACTATTTTGTTCTTAAAGAATTACGTGTACTTTAACAGAATCTTTGACAGCTTTTATTTTTACATCCCTTTGTTAAAATTATCTGTTCTATAAAAATTTGACAAGTTTCTGCAGTTGGGAAAAGCCTCTAGGAAACCTGTCTTCCCTCAATCCTATAGATTTTATGTAAACCTTACATTTTTCCAAAAGCTCTTCTCCTGTCTTCTCCTCCTAGGGTTAAAAATACTGCCTTGTCAGTCAAGTACATAGCATGCCAATATAAATACCATGTTTTGTTTGCTTAAGACAGTTGGTTTGGGAAGCTAGCAAAGTAGCATATTTTTTCACATATTTAATAAGATATAAGATTTGTACTTTGATTCAGTGATAATCTATATTGCTAAGATTACCAAAATAAGTACTACATGATTGGAATTGAATAACTTCTGCTTATTAAAGTTTTTGGTGTGCTAGTAGTTATCCAGTTTATAGCATTTATTGCATTTGTGAATTGTGTTTTCAGAAAATGCTGGGCCTTATTGTATATTGATAAGTTAATTGTGCATATAATAATTTTTTAAATGTAAATATTTAGTTTATACTTCATGATTATTCCACTTCCTTTTTTATGAAAGATTATTTGAAAACCAAAATAAAAATGAACCATATTACTTGGAAGAATAATTTCTATGTTGTTCCTGTTTTAATATTCTGTGGCAAAACAAAGTTTTTTAGTCATTTCAACAGTTGAAAGTATACAGTATACTTGGGGTTAAACTTTGAAGAAAACATGAAGAAAAAGGAAGAAAAAGATCTTAATTGTAACCTAACAAGAAAAATATCCTAATCATAACCAAATTGGTATTTTGTTATTAAGAATCTAAGGAACTTCATTGCACTTTACATTGTTTTACAGATTAATGTCTTTGCTGGCTTTTCTTCCTACACAAAGGAACGCTGTGCTAATACTTATGCAGTACTGTGTTTTCTTTTACATAGTAAAATCTGAAAATGGTGTTTAAGTGGTTGGAATTTTCATGCTTTTCTTATGGAAATTCAAATTAACTTAATAATTTAACTACAGATACAATATGGTCTATAATTTTAAAGAGTAAAAATGAGAGATGAATTACTATAGTTCACTAAAATAGAAAATATATATTTGAATAGTTTCAGTGGAATTTGGTTTTATGAGCACGGTTTTCTGGAACCTTTGAGGAAAATGATCTAATCATAAGCATTCTGCGTTTTATTTTTCCTAGGAATGTTGTACTTTAGACGCTATCTTTGGCTATACTGTAAAGAATATTTTCTAATTCTGAGTTCGATTCTGTAATATTAGTGGATAATACATTAAAGTTTCCCAAGAAAGTGTTTGCTAATATACTGATTTGTTTTAAATGAATAGTTAGAAATCTATACAGAAAATATCAAGAGTAATCTCAGGGTACCTTTTCATTATTAGTCAGGCAAGCTTATTTTTAGACCATTTTCCTTTCATTCATTGGATATAGGATGCGGGATTACAGATGTAATGGTTTTATAAGGTAAAACAGCTGGAGGTCAATTCATGTATCAAGTAGAAATTTTAATAAATCCGAAACACTTCTTGCTTAGGTTCTTTTTGAAAAGATATCTGAAATGCCAGAGTCATTTTCCTGACTTGGTAAGGCATTTAAAATATTTAGTTTACATGATTTATAAACTCTTCTAAAGAGACTCTGTAATTCTTCTAAATATCATATCAGTATCAATTTTCACTTTTCAGAACTGTAAAATTACTCTGAAGGTTTTTTGTCTAAATCTCTGGGAGGTTTTTATTTTACTTTTTCCCCTTATGCCTAGTCTTTCCTTCTCTGCTCTTTAATCTGAATAACCAGATTATTATTTAAAAATTAAAATTTTTAGGTATAACAGTGTGAAAAGTTAGTGAATTTTGTATTTAGGATTTTAAAAAGTTTGTTTTTATTTCTGAATACCAAAAGTGGTTACAGGAATAAAATGACAACTTCCTGTAAGGTAAGGATTGCTAAACAATTAAACTATGCCAAAGGAAAAAAGTCCAAATAAAGTCTTCCTTTTAGTAAAGTGACTTAGATCCTAACAAGATTAGGAAAAGGGAAAAACTCATGTTACACTTCTTGAATTTATGTTCCAATGTGATTTTTATTAAATATATATATATGTGTATATATACATATATGTATATATTGTTATAGACAAAGCAAATCCAAAAACCTAGCCTAAATAAGAATTCTTATGCATTATGAAAAGTGGTAGTAATAAAATATGTATTGGTGGTGGAGGAAGAGTCCCACAAGTGCTCAAGATTGACATAACCTTTAACAAAGTGCAAAAACTTTTATTAGAACTACTAAGTCTAGGTTCACAGTTATGTCAGAGCACTTTATGGTGCCCAAATTAGTACAGCTAATTTTTTTTTGTTGAGCTTTGAAATGTCATTTTTCACTAAATGAATTTAAACAAGTGTTTGAATTATGATGTGAAGCAAGAATTTGTATAGACTTAGGAATCTTTGGCTTTGGTAGACTCCCCTTTTCCTAATTAGCATCTCTTCACATGCTTTTCAGAATCATTTCTCCCACAGCATGTGTTCCAATTTCTATTTAGTAATTTTTAAATAATTTCAAAAATAATCTCCCCGTTCAGTTACAGAATTCTAAAGACAGTAAAATACCTTGTAATTTGAGTAACTTTTTTTTTCTTAAATGAAGTACTTCAGAGCATTTGCCTAATCCTCACAACATTCTTCTGAATTGATACGGAAATCAATAATTATCCTCCTTAAAGAATGGGAAAACTAGCACTGAAAGTTAAGCACCTAGCCCAAGGTCACAGTAACCAAGCTGAACAATCTGGGCGTTCCAACTGCTGTCCCAGTGTACTTCTATCATTCGTGTTACTGTGAATAAAACATGGCATTTAAAATTTTATAATGTCATAATACTGAGTGTATACTAGTGGGGCTGCATAATGTTAAATTTTTAAAAGAAAAATTACAAACCCAGTTTTAAGTAGTAAGGGGATTAACTACAGAATTTTTTTTTTTTTTTTGAAGATCATTGATGGCAGTACTTGTGAAATAAATTGCCTTACTAACATTTTCCTGTTTTCCTAGACAGTGCTGATTAGAGAAAGTCTACAACAAAGGCTCTAAAGACCCATGGAACAGTAATTGACCATTAAGTTGTCACTGAGCTACACCACAGTAAAAGTCAGACATATTTTATATTGACACACAGAGAGAAGGGTGACAGGAGGTTTCAGTAATGTATTTTAGAAAACTGTTCATTTTTTGCTAATGTTTATCTGAAAATAAGATATATAAAACAAAACAAGGAAGCATTGAGCACTGAGTCTTTTCATGCCCAGTATTCAGAAGTGAAGCTTTTCTTTCCCTTCTGTTAATGATAGTTATTAAAGCATTGGTTTTCAGATGGTCCCAATCCTGTGATGAGGCACTTGAAGAGTCTGAAGGTTAGGGCATGTGAAATATGGAGCTGGAAGGAAGCATGCCGCTATTCCATTAGAAGCAAAAGGGAGTGTAGGCCCATAAAATACTTCTTCTTTGCCTTCTCTACTTACATCCACCACCTACAAAAGAAGAGAAGCCTGTTCGTCAAAGATGATTGCTCAAAATAATGCCGTATATACATTAAAGGAGGCCTGCAGTTGAACTCAGTGATGCCGCCATGACCTTAGGCATTAGTTTTTTTCCTCACAGTATGGAACCAGAAATTTGTATTAAGGTCCAGGTAAGTGTTCTTATATACATTTATATATTTTTATGTGTCTACATAATGTAAACAGTTTTTAGGTAGGTATCTTTGTCTTCCTCTAAGAAAAATCTTGTGTCTTGAACAACACATTATACCAGATGGACCTGACAGGTATACACAGAATATTCCATCCAAAAACAGTGGAATACACATTCGTTTCAAGTGAACATGGAATATTCTCTAGGATAGATCACGTTAGGCCACAAAACAAATCTCAATAAATTTAAGAAGACTGAAATCATACAAAGCATCTTTTCATACCACAAGAGTACCTAGAAATAATTTATAAGAATTGGAAAAAAATGCAAACACATAGACTCAAGGAAAATCAAAGAAATCAAAAAATTCGTGGAGAAAAACGTAGGTGAAAACATTATGGTACAAAATCTTCAGGACACAGCAAAGCAGTTCTAACAGGGAAGTTTATAACAGCCTCAAACAAAAATCTCAACCTAACCTTATACCTAAAGGATCTAGAAAAAGAACAAAGGTAGTAAAAGGAAGGATAGAATAAAGATTAGAGTGGAAATAAACTTAAAAAAAGAAAAATGAATAAGAATTGATTAATGAAGAGAAACCTTTATCCAGACACATGAAGACCCAAATCAGAAATGAAGGAAGAAAAATAACTTGACACCACAGAAATACAAAGGGTTGCAAGAAACGACTCTGAAAAATGTGCCAACAAATTGGGACAACTTAGAAGTGGATAAATTCCTAGAAACATACAATCTTCTAAAGCTAAATCAGAAAGAAATAGAAAATATGGCCTGATTACCCATTCAATTTCATTACTAGTAATCAAACAGCTACCAACAAAAGTCCAGGACCCATATGGCTTCATAGGTAAATTCAACAAAGATTTAAAGTGTTGATACCTGTTCTCAAACTACTGAAACCTTGGATTGCGAGTAATTTGTTCTGCAAGACGAGCAGACATTTCTAATAAATTTTAACTTGATAAACAAGTGATGTCTTGTAATACGTGTAGTATGGGATACTGAATGTTACATGATCACAACTGAGCCAATGGTACTTAAAATTCACTTTGATATACGAGCACTTTGGATTACAAGCATGCTTCTGGAATGAATTATGCTTGCAAATCAAGGTTTTACTGGATTCCAAAGAATAGAAGAGGAAGGAAAATTTCCAAATATATTCTACAAGGCCAGCTTTACCCTGATACCAAAACCAGACACTATCAAAAAGACCAAAACAAAACAAAACCACCTTACAGGCCAGTATATCTGATGAACATACATGCAAAAAATGCTGAACAAATATTAGCAAACTAAATACATTAAAAAATATATCATTTACCTCGATCAAGTGAGATTTATTCCAGGAATAAAAAGCGTTTCAATATTCACAAATAGGTTAATGTGATAATAAGAGTAATAACTAAAAACCATATGGTCACGTCAGTAGATACAGAAAAAGCATTTGACAAAATGCAACATCCATTCATGATAAAAACTCAACAAAGTGGGTTTAGAGAGAACATACCATAACACCAACCATATATGAAAAACCCACAGCCAACATCATACTGAAAGGTTTCCCTCTAAAGACCAGGAACAAGACAAGAAGGTCCACTCTTACCATTTTAATTCAAAATAATACTGGACATCCTAGCTGCAGCAATCAAGCAAGAAGGAGGAAAGTATCCAAATTGGTAAGAAAATAAACTTAACCACTATTGGCCAATGACGTGTGTGTGTGTGTGTGTGTGTGTGTGTGTGTGTGTGTAAAACCCGAAACACTCCACCAAAGAACAGATGAATGAATTCAGTCAGGATACATTTCTGTATGTTAATTTTGTATTACATTTCTATACACTAATAATGAAGTAGCAGAAAGAGAAATTAAGAGAAGAGTTCCATTGGAGAGTAGTCCAAGATGACCACTCAGGAAGAGTATGAACTCACCTCCTCCACAGACACACCAAATAATAAACCTATTGTAGAGCAATTCCTTCTGAAGAAGTGAGAGCTGACTGAACAGCCTCTGCACAAAAGATAGATCACATAACTGTAATATGGAGTCTTGTTACTAAAGAGAACCCACAGTCCCAACACTGAAGAGCAGTGGAGAGGGATAGTACTAAGGGACTGTAATGCACCCACCCTGGGGCACAGAAAGAAAGCTACAAATTAAAAGCAACTAGAATATAAAGGATCCAGCCCTACCACCACCAAGCAACAGGACAGCAGCTAGAACTCTGGATTGGAGATGCTGGTGAACACAGCTGTTTTATGTTCCCTCTCCATCATGACAGCATGGACAGGAATAGTGTCCAGGCACTGTAGCCAGCCTATTGACTGAACCCCTGGCCTCTACCCCACACCAGACTGAGCCATCCAATTAGGTCAGCCTCCAGCACACCACACACGAAGACACCCCTTCTCAGGGCTCACTACAGCTACAGCCACCTTACTTACCAAGGTGACACAGGCACAAAGCACTATGGCACATTCCAGGCACACATTATTTTAGCTCCTAATGTCTTGCTATGTATGACACCCCCAACTCAAGAGAGATCCAGGACTATACCTGAACAGAGCATCTCAAGAACCCCAAGTCTTCACCCTGTCTTAGCTATAGCCACCTCACCAGGGCATACCCTGCACCAAACACCATGAGTTTTTGTGCACATGGTTAGCCCACACTAGCCATGGTTCTAGTTGCCCTATCACAGCACTCTATGAACAGCATTTGAGGAGACTCCAGCCTGCACCCAGTTCAACTACGGCTCTCCTGTCAAGGCACCACTGTATGGAGTGCCCCAGGATGCCCTGGACCACACTACACCTTGGCTCCAGCTACCCCACCAGGGTAGCCCCTGCACAGGATGCCCAAGACACTCCAGCCTGCAGCCCCCTTCACCTTCATCTAATCTGCCATGGTGCCCTCCATGCAGAGAACACCAGTACACCCCAGCTTGCATCTGCTTTGGCTTAGGCTATTTTCCAGGGTGCCCATAGAGTGGAGAGCCCCAAAATAACCTGGCTAGCACCAACTTTAGTTTCAGCTGTCTTGCTGGGGCACCCTCTGCACTGAGAGATAGGAATACCCTGACCCATGCCCATTTCAGCTACAGTCATCTCATCAGGGAAGCCCCAGCATGGAGTGCCTCAGGACCACCAAGCTCATGCCCGCCACAACTCTAACCACCCAGTCACTAAAACACAGTCAACACAGGGGATGATCATACACAAGACTCTTCCATCAATTTTAGAAGTAACTGGTCTAATTCATAAGAACAAACACAAAGGCAATGTAAGGAGATAAATGAATATGCTCCAAATAAAAGAACATGACAAGTCCTCAGAAAATGAACTAGATAAAATGGAAATAACCAATCTACCTAACAAAGAGCTCAAAGTAATGGTTATAAAGAAGCTCACCAGACTGAAGAGTGGAAGTGACAGTGAAAATGTCAACAGAAAAAATATTAAAAAGAACCAATCAGGGGCGCCTGGGTGGCTCAGTCGGTTAAGGGTCCGACTTCAGCTCAGGTCATGATCTCACAGCTTATGGGTTCGAGCCCTGCATCAGGCTCTGTGCTGATGGCTCAGAGCCTGGAGCCTGCTTTGGATTCTGTCTCTCTCTCTCTCTGCCCCTCCCTTGCTCACACTGTCTCTCAAAATAAACATTAAAAAAAAAAGTTGAGAATACAATAACTGAATGAAATATACACTAGAAGGAATCAACAGCCTTTTTTTTTAAGTTATTAATTTTGAGAGAGAGTGAGCTGGGGAGGGGCAGAGAGAGAGCACGGGGGACAGGATCCAAAGCAGGCTCTGCACTGACATCAAACTCATGAACCATGAGATTATGACCTGAGCTGAAGTTGGGATGCTTAAATGACTGAGCCACCCAGGTGCCCCTCAACAGTATCTTTAAAATGACACATTAGGTCCAGCTGGTATAAGAGATATATATGGAACATTCCATCCAAAAACAAAAGATTACAGATTCTTTTCAAGTGCACATGGGACATTCTTCAGAATAGATCATAGATTAAACCATAATACAAGACTCAATAAATTAAAGAAGATTGAAATCGTATCATGCATCTTTTCTGATCATAATAGTATGACACTAGAAATCAGTAACAAAAAAACAAAAATGGAAAACACAAACATGGAAGTTAAATAAAATTCTACCACATAAGCAATGGGTCCATGAAGTACACACTGAGAAAATGTTAAAAATACTTGGAGACTAACGTAAATGAAAACACACGTCAAAAATCTAGAACCATTTTCACTGTGTCCCAAAGAGGGAAATGTATAGTGATATAGGACTACCTCAAGAAATAAAAATTCTGGAATACCTGGGTGGCTCGGTTAAGTGTCTGACTTTGGCTCAGGTCATGATCTGAGGTTCATGAGTTCAAGCCCTGCATCGGGCTCTGTGCTGACAGCTCAGAGCCTGGAACCAGCTTCAGATTCTGTATCTCCCTCTCTCTCTCTCTCTCTCTCTGCCCCTCCCCCACTCACACTCTGTCTCTCAAAAAATGAATAAACATGTTTTAAAATTTTTAATAAAAAATAAACATCTCAATCTAAATTTACATCTAAAGGAACTAGAAAAAGAAGAGCAAAGTCCAAGGTTAGTACAAGGGTACAAGGAAAGAAATAATAAAGATCAGAGCATGGATAAATGAAATGGAGACAAAAAAATAGAAAAGATCAACAAAACCAAGAGCTAGTTCTTGAAAAGATAAACAAAATTGACAGAAAATTAGACCTATCAAGAAAAAACGAAAGGAGACACAAAGAGAATAAGAAATGAAAGAGAAGTAGA